CAAACTTTGCTCGTGTAAAAAATACCCTTCGAAAAATAATAAATACATTCCCTCCTAAAAGCATATTCACTTGCAGAACAAGATATTTCCAATGGAAAAAGAAAAAAGTAACAACTTATATTTAACACCTCTTTATGTAATCAAAATAATCTACAAAACTTTTATTATTCTTAGAAGTATTACTTGTTCAAACAACATCAAATGATACTGGTTTTATCTGTGTTTTTGTTTTAATTTCACGCAAAGCTACTCGAAGCTACTACGACCAGAGGGAAGGCAGCTAGTCAACAACACCCACCGCCAATCGTTGGGCTACTCTATACAAACGAATAGTGGAACTTACCGTCACATTATGACGACCCCACGACTGAAACGGCGAGCATGTTCGGCGACGAATTTCGATCCCACAATCCATAGATTGCAAGTCGAGCCCCCTAACGACGAAGCCATGCCAGGTTTCATGCTTTGTCTATCTACTTAGTTATTAATACATTCGCCTATCTACCTGTCCTTATATATTTACTTTTGTAGCTTAAATCAAACATTTGTAAGCTTTTTACACATAAAAACTGAAAATGGTTTACAGGCAAAGCACTGGGCGGTTTTTAACGTCTAGTTAATGTTTTGAATATCATCAAATTCATAAAGTTCACGAATATATAAGTCCCAGTTTATACTTAATGATTCTTTCTAAACTTTTGCTTACACACGAATGCTGAATTTATTTAAATATACGCTTACAAGTTTGATTCTCAATATTTTAATATAATACAACCCCACATTTTCAAACAGTTTAATATCGTTATACAACTTATACTAATTATTCAACAAATAAAAGTAAATTAAAAGTCATAATTATACAGTATAACTGAACGAACAATTCTAAAATATATAAAAGATAGTAAAATTTCAGAAGCTGTCTGATTTTAAGTTTTATCGAGTTATAAGTAGCGTAGTCTACAAAACACACATTTGATGCTTCAGTTTGATACTTTTTGCAAAAGCAACCTATTTATCGGAAGTAGGGGAGGGGAATGCACATGTTAGCCATTCGGAACACGAAAACTAATTATAAACTGAACGACATTGCGATTACTTAAAGTCTACTGTACAATACATTTTGTATTTTTTAATCAACTTTATTCAACATCTGTAAAGATATTATTATTAAAATTATTATTTCCGTATATACATATAGACCAATGATCAAGAAAGTGATAAATTGATAGTTTAATTTCATGACAATCATATGGCGCTACTTACCTGAATGTACTAAGCCTAAGTATTTAACTGTGTACTGGTATAAACTTTCAGTTTAATTTCATGACAATCATATGGCGCTACTTACCTGAATGTACTAAACCTAAGTATTTAACTGTGTACTGGTATAAACTTTCAAGGTATTTAACTGTGTACTGGTATAAAATTTCAGGGCGTAGTCCGAAAAATATTACATAAAAACAATTTGTGCAGCTCGATCAACAATTTGTACAAAGGCAAATATACAATGAGTATATATAGCTATACGTTAAATTACGGGCTACTTACCCATTTTGACAGTGTTGACGCGTTGTTCAAAGTGCAATAGTTGAAAACTTAACTATTTCCTTGATAAACAGACTTGATTCTCACGAGAGAAAAGCAGTTTTACAGGTCTTCATTCAGTTTTACTACTTACTAGGTTCGTTATCTCAGGGTCGTACTTCAGGTTTGAGTTACGCCTTAGAGCATGATGTTTTTCTTTGGTCGAGCAAGTTTGGGTGCTCAGTCCCTGCACGTAGAATCACTAAAACACTGTTAGGTGTGAAACATGTAGGAGAATTAAAATAAAACTGTTTTATTTTGCTTTATATGTAAACTGAATAACACGTGAATCTTCATTATGTTGCAAATCGTTTAAGTTATACCAAAATGTTTTGAAAACTTTGGTATGAACTAATTAAGGAGCAAATTACTAGCTTCATTATTTTAAAATAGTTAAATTTTAGAAAGTTTATGTGGCTCAGCAGCAAGTCTGAAGGCTTATAACGCCAAAATCCTGATTTCGATACTCGTGGTGGGCACAGCATAAATAACCCATTGAGTAGCTTTGCGCTTAACAACAAACAAGCAAAATCATTTCCATGTAGGTGTACCACAATGAAATACAATATCCGTCATACAGGAGACTTTCTATACGTGAATGTAGCATTATTTCATCAAAAGAAAACAATCATTGACGCATTTCTTCACAGGAATTTCAACTAACTGTGGTTCTCATCTAATATTGCAATCAACGTTTCAGTCGTGTTGGTTGTTTGTTTGTTTTTTCAGAATTTCGCGCAAAATTACAAAAATTCTATTTGCGCATAGTCGTCCCTAATTCACAGACTAAAGGGACAGCAGCTAATTAAAAGAACCTACCACCAACTCATATAGCGCAAGCTCAGTCCCAAAGTGCGGACCACGTTTTTGCGACAACAGGCTGCGAACCATTAACCCTCGAAGTTACAACCCAAGGATACTAACCACTAAACCTCGTCATGTCAAATAAACAGTCATTCTTGCTCTAAGAGTACGACCGCGACCGAGGCAATTCAATGTTTTATCACAAATGAAATGACATAATGAATATCGCCAAGAAAGTTAATAGATAATAGTAAGTTTCTAAATTTTTGTGGCATGCAACCATGATAAAAAATCACTAAAAATTTATAGTTGTTCTACTTAAACATATTATTAATATATTTTCTCTTTATTTAAACGCGATTACTTTTTCTGACAACTAAAATGAACACCAAACACCTTTTAAATTCAAGTTTTATATACAAAATAATGATCCTACGCATAACCAATTATTTCACCACACACACACACACACACACACACATATATATATATATATATATATATATACATACATACATATATATATA